CTTGGCTACCGACTTGTAGGATCGGGCATCTGCCATGTCCATATACTCGTGGTCTTTGGCCATCAGTTGCTCATAATTTACAACAAACTTCTTAGCAAGCGATTCGGCCAACTCGTTGCTCTACAAGCTAGTCACGAGTTCAAACATAGCAACTAAACTCTCTGGGTCGTTGAGCTCCAGCCTTTTCGCCTAGAACCACTTGAAGTAGGTTCGTAGTCTCTCTCCGGGCCCCTACCTCATCTGAATCAACACATGAGGGGCAACTTCAGCTTGGTATCAGCCAGGAAGTGGTGGATGAACTTCTGACTGAGTTGTTGGAAGCTGTTGATGGACTTCTTCTCAAGAGTGTTCCACCAGAGCTTGGCACTCCCTGAAAGAGTGATGGGGAAGAATTGACAGATGATTTTTTTTGATGCTTGGAGCATGCTCATCACATCCTAGTAGTTCTGAACATGCTCGGAGGGATCTCCTTCGTCTTTATACTTCTCCACGTGAGGCATCTTGAACTTATCACATGGGGCATTCATAAAGTCATCAGAAAGAGGGGTGATCCCCACGATGGCTTCTATGATCAGTCTGTACACCCAATCATAGCTAGAGTTCCCTATGGTAGCAAAGGGAGCTGGAGAGGCACGGTGATAGAGGAGAGTCTTAGAGACCACTCTCCTGGTGCAGTCCCTAAGGTGACTAGGGCCAAGACTCTTACCGGTGATCTCCTTGTTTGGTTCAAAAGTCGCTGCTGTGGAATTCATTATAACTTTGTTCGATTACAACAAATTCGAAAGAATAATCTTTTTATAAGACTTTTTCTACACAACAAAACAAAAATTACAACTCTTGAGAAACAAACACGAAAATCGTCTATCAATTTTCGTTTTCGTGGGACTTTACCTGTGCCGGGAACGCTTTGGTTCGTGGACCGCCGATTCACAGATCGTGAAGAGGGGGGGCTTATGATTCTAACTTCGCTATCGAAGTAGAAATTGAAACGATATCTTATCGAAGTAAGATAGTCGTTCTTCTTAAAATCAAGTCGAAGCTTAATTTCAAGGCGTTGCAAGAAAAGAACTCAAATCTCTGCTCTCTCTGCTCTGGAATGCTCTAACAAATGCTCGATCCTCGTCAGAAGTGACCCTAGGGGGGTATTTATAGCCTCAAGGGTCAGTAACTGCAAAAACTTAACAATCGAAGAAGTCAGTACGGCGAGACAGTGTTTACTGTCTCGCTGGGCGAGACAGCGTTTGCTGTCTCGACCCGCGAGACAGTAAATTTGCTGTCTCGCTCAGCGAGACAGTAAATGCTGTCTCGGAAAATGGCAGTTTCTCGCTGTAACTGTTCTCTCACGTTTCAAACTCCGTTATTTTGGCAGTTATCCACGTGATTTTCGCCCATGATGTTTCCCACGTCCCTTGCTAGTTAATGGACACGTGTAGGGCAGTTACAAATATAGTTTTGACTATTTCAACACTGTCTCGCTGGCGAGACAGCAAAGACTGTCTCGCTGGCGAGACAGCAAAGACTGTCCCGCTGGCGAGACAGCAAAGACTGTCCCGCTGGCGAGGCAGCAAAGACTGTCCCGCTGGCGAGACACAGCAAAGCCTGTCTCGCTGGCGAGACAGTTCATACTTGTTTTGATTTTTCCAAAACAGTATGAAATCCTTTCTTGTGAATTTTTGAGTGATCTTCTCTATGCTTGGGATATCTATTAGCATTTTTTGACGCCTACAGATACCCCCTCCAAAGTATTCCAGACTCATTCTTTTATAGAGGAGCATGGGATACTTTGGATAAGATAGATTTTATTTACGGTCCCTTCAATGCTTGGCTGAATAGATCGTATGAAAGGACTTGTAAATGACTTCAATGTTTAACCTCTTCTGCTGTTAGTCTATCCAGTTCTTCGTAGAATAGCTAACGTTCTCCCAGCGTCGCGTTTATCGCTTGACCGTTGTCGAGATCTTGAATTGAAGTTGATATTTGCTCTTGTGAATTCAGTTTCTGACTTTGGTGGTGCTTCGATTTGAAGAGATTTCATTTGGATTTGAAAGGTCTGTTTCCCCTCTTTTCTTCAAAATCTTGACTTTTGGCAACCTGTGACTGTGCATGCAGCATTTCAGTTGTATTTGTCCTATTTTTTTGTCGATTTCATGTTCAAAATCTTAACCTTCCTCTTGGATTTCAATGTAGATCACATACTCATCATGTCGCCACGTAGAGCTCGAGGGAAGGGAATCCGACCGACTGTTCAGAGCCCTGAGGAGGCTGCCCCTGCTGCGATCTCACGTGGAGGTATATTTCTTTCACCTTTTCACGAATTTAAATATTGTATTTCGTCCATTCCATATATATATGCACCTGTATTTGCTTGCAGATCCTCGTTTGTATCCTTTGAGGTACCTTCGAGAAGAGCCGGTATCCTCCTTTGAGGGGATCGACGCTTAAAAGTGTTTGTTTTGCTTTGACAAAACACACTTCATAATACACAGGGGCGATTTTACATCATCCCATATGTATTGAAAGGTTTTGGTATGCCGTTATAATGCCCGCATACCTCCTTTATACATATGGTGGATAGAAAATCGTCACACCTGTTATGAGATAACGACTATATCTTATAGAATGAGATATACCGTTTTTCTCTAAAATTTTAGGATGACACTTACACCATTTATGTGTATGCCTCTTTTATCAGTCCGATTTCCTTCTACCACATTTACTGCTGATGTGATTACTGGCCGGAGTAGCGTGACCCACTCTTATTACGAGGGGATCCCGTTAATTGAATTCTCTCCCCAGTTTAAATCTGATTATAACGGAAGTGATAGTGAATTAATCCAGCGAGGTAGTTGTCGTGTTCTACGACGATTAATCACAGATGCGCCCTTGATCTCGGAGCAAGACTCGAATCAATGCATAAGGAAGCCAGATTTCTTATTTGGTGACTCGGTAAAAGATCCGAAGATTGCTTTCTGCCAGCCTGCGCAATGGTTGCACCAGAGTGGATCATCATTCTTATATCTGCCTTTTATCCCTCGGGATCATTCACTGTTAATGTTCAGGAACCTATCAGTTGGACGAGAGATGTTCTGGAAATTAACCGAAAACCACGAGCACATTCATTGTGGTTTCATTGGAAAGGAAGCAACTCCAGGTTCCAGTGAAAGAGCTCATGTGAGAGGACTTCATCCGGGTGTCTTAGGACAAGACAATATTCCTCAGAACGAAAAGATAGTGCAAGCCAACACTGTGAAGAACCGGTTAGCGGCAGCAGGAAAAAGATTGCCCAGAGAGACTTTCAGGTGTTATGGATGGGTCCATTATTCTGGGAACAAGTGGTGGTGGACCAGGATGACCCAATATGTGTTGAAACGTTTTGGGCGAGAATTAGCAGGATTAGGGTTGGATGTCCCGATTCGTGCCACCATGCATGGCTTGCAGAGCAGTGTAAGTCATTTCCTTTGTTTGTTCGAGATCTACAACCCGGACACCAATACATTCTTTACCAAGAACGGGGAACTTGGACTACCACTGCATGAAATGATGCAAGTGTCTGCTTTGCCTATGGGCGATGTCCCATATCAAGAGTTCTTTCCGACCACCAATCAGCTGATTAAGATGAAAGATAGCTCGACTGCGACCTATGACACTCTATGGGAATTGACCTGTCATTATCATATAGCCATGGCCGAGATGGAGCCCAAAGCCAGAAAGAAGTCTCCTCAAGTCAGTTTAAAACAATTCGCTGATTATCTCTTCAAGAATCTGGATGTCCGTTCGGCAGATGTGTGCGGATTGTCTCCCTTGAGTACGGATGAAATTAACCGTCTGTTAGAGAAAACCAACGCGCAATCTTATACTTCGCGCTCAGAAGATGGATTTTTGCACGGCACTAAGTTCCGCTCTTATCTGTGGCAAGCTGGTGTTCCGATTAGCCCTACTGCTCTGCTGGCAGGTTTTCTAGCCTTATGGTTAAAGAGATGTGTAGTTCCCCATCAATCCGCAGATGCGATGCCAATGGAAGTGTTGTATCCGGCCGTCCAGCTGGCTACAGGTCGCAAATTATCTTTGCTTCCCGCTATGGTGGCCGATATTCATAGTGGATTGCGGCAACTAATCTCCGCATTTACCCAGGAGAAAAAGAAACCTTCCGCCAGCCTGTCCGTTCCGAAGCTGGAGCTGCCCTATACTTACTTAATGGCCTGGTTGGTACTTCATCGACCAGATTTAATGGAGGCTCCTGATACGGTAGATCTCAGTGTCCCTCTGTTGCAAAATCTCGAGAATTGCAAATGGAGCAAACATCGAGAGCCGGACATAACGAGGCAGTTTAAAATTCACAAATGTTGGGAATTTTTTCCTTGCTTCCCTCAGTTCTCCGGTACTTACAACACTACCTTAGTGGATGCTGAAGACCCAAGGCAGAATCGTACCATTTTGGATGTCGGGTGCTTCAGATGGTTGATGAATATTCGACCTGGATATCTGTTGTTCAGGATAAGGGATGTTTGCCACATCGAACCCTATCTTCCATGTCGATTCGCCCGTCAGTTCGGGTATGATCAGATATACATCGGCAACCCGAATCGTCACCTCAGCTTTCGAGGTGGACTTATCGACGGGGCGAGAGCTTGGTTTTGGAGCATTGCCGGCTGCACCAATGTTGAATTTGATCTCCCCTTAGAGACGCCGCCTCTACGGATGACTTTCCTCTTTTGCAAATGGCTGATAGCCACCAATATTGCCACTCGACGTAGGAGGATATCAGACTCAGAGGAGGAAATAGCTCCATGACAAGCAACAGAACCGCCTCGTGAAGCTGTGATGTCTCCTCGAGGAAAAGAGGCTGCTGAATCATCAAGAAAAGGAAAGGAACCGGCTCTCCCAGTTGATAGTGAAGAGGAGTTTGATAGTGAAGCAACCGAAACTTCAGAAGGGGAAGACGAGAATGAATCAAGTTCTGAGGAAGTATCTGGCCTTCCCGATTCATTCTTTGATAGAGGACTTGTAAGGCCTTCTGTCGCTCCGACCCAACCACAAGCTGCTCCAAAGAAACGTAAGGAAAGAGTCGTCATGGAACATCCTAACCGGATGACGGTAGAAGTTCTTAGTTGCGACGAAGAGGATGAAGAGGATATGGTGCCTCTCATTCGTCGGCAAATATCTCGAACTTCTACTCAAGCTCAAACTCAAGTTTCTCCCCGAGCTGAGTTACGCACCAAACATCGTCATGAAGGTTCTGGTGCACGCCCTCTGAAGAAACAGAAGAAAGCTGTTTCTAAACCGCGCGTTCATCTTCCTGCTGTAGAAGAGACATCCGGTCGTAGTGCTTCTTCTGATGAGCAAGGTAACGATTTGTTTTTATAGCTTTTACACTTTTTGACGTTCAAACTTATTTCATGTTCAACTTCTGCAGGGAGTCGAGAGGAAGGAGAATTGTCAGCTGATGCTGCTTCTCCCGGAGGTATGGAAATTGAGGAAACAAGCTTCGTCCAACAAATGCATGATGCTCTGAAGGAAGGATCGGCTGATGTTCCACCCACTCCTGACGTTGATCCATCAGCTGCGGACACAGGTACTGATCTTTCTCCTCTCGGAAGAGAAATCCGAGAAATGAATGAGTCGGACCGTGTGCCTCCTCTAATGACCTGTGCGCTTTCTCTCCTTTTAGTCAAATTAAAAGAAGCAGGTACCAGTAGTGGAGCTCTCGAATCAGCCCCGACCAATGAAGGTAAAATCGATCTTTGTCTTGGGCAGATTCGTCTAAATTTACATGTTATTTATGGTTCCTCATGTTCTTTAGACATCCCGATGCACGAGCCTATTGAAGGAGAAGCTACCCATGCCACCAAAGTCGATGATTTTAATAATTTCGACTTTAATATCTCAGAGGACGACCATCAACAAATCCTTGATTCTCTGTTAGAGAAAGCCTCTGATGCAACTATCGGCTCAGATGTTGGAATTGGTTCAACGGAAGCCGGTCCTTCTGAGAGTAAGACTTTGGTTCTGTGAACTCCACATATATATATACGTATATATTTTGACTTGATTAATCATATAAGTGTCTGAATTATAGGACCAACTGCTGGAGCTGATTTTTTTTTGTGCTCGAACTCATTTCATTTCCAATTTCTGTAGAGAGTCAAGAAGAGGGAGAATATCGAGTTGGAGCTGCTTCTCCTGGAGGTATGGAGACTGAGGAGACCAGCTTCGTCCAGCAAATGCAAGATGTTCTGAAAGAAGGACCAACTGACGTTGCCCCAACTCCTGACGTTGATCCATCCGCTACGGACACAGGTACTGATCTTTCTCCTCTCGGAAGAGAAATCCGAGAAATGAATGAGTCGGACCGTGTGCCTCCTCTAATGACCTGTGCGCTTTCTCTCCATTTAGTCAAATTAAAAGAAGCGGGTACCAGTAGTGGAGCTCTCGAATCAGCCCCGACCAATGAAGGTAAAATCGATCTTTGTCTTGGGCAGCCCTGACCTCTGTCAAGCCGGCTTCCTGCTGGTGCACTGCGACAAGTCCTTCGCTCTTTGTCTGATGTTGCTACAATTGTAACATGTACCCCAAACTCTGGGTCGCTATGGCGCTGTCAAATCATGTTGTGCTCCCTTCTTATACTGTCCTTGTTGATAGTGGTAAAAATCTTTACACCGTTGTTGGGGTTCTCTAGATTCCGCAATAGGCCCCTTATCCTTACCATCGTCACCATGCTGGTTTTGATTTCTTCATTAATTACAGGCATATCTCCCTGCTTCAATTGGACTAGCTCTAACTGCTTATCGATGATAAAGGGGGAAAATTGTGATATGCAGTTGGTCGGATTTGGTTTGAATGCCCCATTTAATTTAAGGAAATCCGACAAATCATATTTTGCCCAAGATGACCCAATAGCTCATGCTAGAATTTAAAAGAATTTGGCTCCCTAAATCTTAAAAATTATTGCAACATGATGTATTTTAGGTTATACAAATTCTAAAGTGTATAAATAAAAACCACATAGGTTCACAAGAGTTTAAAGCAAACTCAAGTTAAATCAAAATTGTCTAACAAATGCATATAATCCAAATATAGAAAAACTAAATAGTTTACCTTGACCACTTCGATAAGATCCGCTTCAATATCCACTACCTCCCCTCGTCCAAGCTTATGAATATTAGTTTGAATTATGATATGTGCTTCAGGCACTATGACTGAACCAATTAAACTTGCATTATGGTTTCTCACAACAGCTGGTTGTGTTTTTAACAACTACTAATACAAGGATTAATTCATAATGCTTTTAGTTGTACTATTGTAAGAGTACAAGGTTACTTGTTGAATTGTATTCAGTCGAGGGTTTAAAATCCTAAAATGGCTATAGGATAAGATCTCCTACTATGTTCATAGCCTACCCCTTGTCCACGCGTATAAGTAATTTTCTGAATTGTAGCATTGTGACGCCCCTGTTTTCACACTTGGCTGCAGTCCAAGGTGAACCCAGAGATGTCAAACCTGTCATGCACCTCCACTGTGCATCAACATGTTTCACCAATCACAGTAATATCCTCTAGTGGAAACCAATATAAATGAAGGTACAAAACAGGCAAATAAGGGAAATAAATACTATAGACATGATACGGAAAGATATATCTCATAAATGAAATCATGTCCCAAATAAACTAAACTGGAATACAACTGATATACATCTGGAGTCTAAAATAACATGATATGTCTCAACATGAATCGATTAGAAATCGTACTAAGGCATATTGCCTTAACAATATGAGTACAAACTCAAATGACTAAATGGAAACATAAGATCACTGTGGAGTCCATACTAGTAAAAATACGCGACGGAGACTATGCAAGAACTCCGTCACCCTGCGACTCTCCGATGCTCTGAGCCGCCTGAAATGAGAAATAAAAAAAAAAGAACAACAACAAGAGCGTCAGAGCGCTACAACAAGTTCACCTCCATCCGCCCCCAGGGGAAGGGCTGCTAGATGATGAAGTGGAGGCTCTATCTATTAAACATAGTCTACCCAGATCATTTTCCCTGTATCTAATGGAATTAATATTTAGAAACTTACAACTTGAGACGTAGTACGTCGAGCGAAATAATCCAAACAAGAAAACCCTCATGTATATACCGTATGTCTCAAATAGTAAATAACTAAATATTAACCCTGAACTAAGCAATCAAAATATAATTGGAAAGTAAAGCATCATAATAGACATCAGCATATGTATCTCGTGTACTCGTATAGCAAAGTATCTCAACAATGAGTAGAAACACTTTTGGCATCCGCCAAATACTCATGTAAATAGTTTATAATATTATCATTCTGAACTTCTTCCAACTCATCGCATCATCGCGCGGATCGACAAATAGGTATCATCGCATCATAGTGCGGATCGATAAATAGGTATCATCGCATCATAGTGCGGATCGATAAATAGGTATCATCGCATCATAGTGCGGATCGACAAATAGGTATCATCGCATCATAGTGCGGATCGACAAATAGGTATCATCGCATCACCGTGCGGATCGACAAATAGGTATCATCGCAGTCTCATTTGCGGTGTACTAACTCACAAGTAAATAGATCTCAATTCGTCATAATCCCCGTGGGATACTTAAATGCGTATTTCGTCATATTCATGACTGTAAGTATAACATCGAGTGGCTCAAACTCCACGATCGCGTCACAAATGGCGCAAACAAACTCCAGAAAATAAAACTGGGCCAAACTGTCCAGTAAATGGTCAGGGTTACCAACCCCGCCTATCTGCTATAATAACTAATTGTGAATAGTAGCAGTACTTACTAATAGCAACAGTACTTTACGACTAGTATCCGTACTAATGAATAGTAACAGTACGTATGAATAGTACCGTATGAATGAATAGTAACGGTATGTATAAATAGTACCCATACGTATGAATAGTGTTAGTACTTATGAATAGTGTCGTATGTGTAAATAATAACAGTACGTATGAATAGTACCCCAGTATGCATGAATAGTAATAGTACTTATGAATAGTGCCGTACGTATGAACAGTACGGCATTTATGAATAGTACCATAGTATGTATGAATAGTACTCATGAATAGTGTCATACGTATGAACAGTATCGTATTTATGAATAGTACCATACATATGAATAGTAATAGTATTTATGAATAGTGTCGTAAGTATGAATAGTACCGTACGTATGAATAGTACCGTATGTATGAATAGTACCATACGTATAAAATAGTGAAAGTATTTCCAGCGGTAGAATTGTACGTATAGTTCTAGCTAGCAATATCATGTCTTTAGGAATTTGGTCTTATATTCCATTCATCAATTTTCATCAATATCAAGTCTTTTCTTCAATATCATGTATATTCATCAATTTTTATCAATATCATGTCTTTTCATCAATATCATGTATATTCATCAAATTTTATCAATATCATGTCTTTTCATCAATATCATGTATATTCATCAATTTTTATCAATATCATGTCTTTTCATCAATATCATGTATATTCATCAATATCATGTATATTCATCAAGATCAAAATTTACTGGGGATGCGTTTGGAAAGAGATGAACTTGCCTTTATTGATCTCTGAAATTGGAATCCCTATCTGTTCCTGCTTTTCGAATTGTCAAAATAACCTTCTTCTTTCCCTTTCTTTTCTTCCTCTCTCTCTCTCTCTCTCTCTCTCTCTCTCTCTCTTCTTTCTCTCCCTTTCTCTCTCGTTGAGTGTGTGCAGAGAGTGAGGGGGCTCTGTCCCTTTTTATAGAGAGATGAGGGTAGGGGGTAGGTGGCACAGTGTGAGGAGTTGGTGGCACAGGAAAAAGAGAGAAAAAATATATATATAATATTTTATATTATTTTTAAAAATATGATTTCAGACTCTATTCTCAGAAATCATCAAAAATTTACCCATAGCACCGTCTCATTATTCTAAGATCAATGGTGTAAACCTCATGTCCATATGATCAATATAAAAATTATTAAAAATACAAATACGATAGATGTCAGTGACGCGATACCGTCTCAAAATAGTGTATAGTCTCATTTGTCAGAACTCAATGAAACTTTACCCACAACATGGTATTGACATTCTAAGATCAATGGCGCAAATTTCGTGCCCATCTGATCAATAGATAAATTACTAAAAATAAAATAGTATCACTTTTCAGTAGACTCGCGATACCGAGGCTAAAACTGCGAATCGATCTCAAATCAATTCCAATCTGATCCATTCATCCCAGAATGATCACCAATCATAATAAAACTCATTTATTATCATTTATAATAATATTTTAAAATTTTTCAGGGTTTTACACCATCTATAAGCTGACTTTTGTCCATTCGTACAAGAATAGGATGGGAATCTACCCAAGAAGAGTATAACTTCATTAAGGGTTCTGGAATAATACCAATTTCAATACCATATGTTTCCCACCATTTATAGAGCCAAGTAGGAACGCCCTTTTGAAGAGCTTTAAGATAAATTTTTACAAGCCAAGTGTGCTTCTGTTTGGGATTCTGATATAAGAATATCTCATTAAAGGCATGTTTATAGTCCCAATAATTGAAGTTATAAACTTCTTTTTGTATTTTGAACTCTGACAAGTGGCAGCTCCCGATTAGGATTTAGTGCCCAATTTCTAGGAAGTATAACTTCCTAAATAATGTATTTACTCAAGCTTGGAGGGACATTATGATTATCTATTGTCCAAAAATGCATCCAGGCTCTTGGTTTCAAAGATAAAGTTGGATAATATGTATCCTGCAGATATCTCTGTCTTAATTTTTCTAGATTGTTCATCAAGGGAACATCCTCTTGTTCTAGATACAGAATAATATCAGACTGAGGTTTTTCAACCCATTGTGTCTCTTGCTTTACTATAGAAGTAAATGGTTCAGGAGTTTGTTCCTGTGTAATAAGACCATTTATGCCTTTATAAAAGGCTTGAGATAGATGCGAAGAGTTATGTTTTTCGAAATAGTATGCCATGAACTGGGCTGAGGTGGAGTATAACTCCTTTCAGAACAAGTTTGGCCTATAAGGCCTGAACTAGAAG